GCAAAAACGCACGGCTGCTGCAAAAGCTGGAAGAAGAAAGGTTTGGGTGAAGTATCATGAAGGACCATGAATCAAAACGTGAAGAGTGGAGTCACAGCTTGAAATCGTTCAGCGGGTACACATCCATGGCCAGTGGATGCTTCCCTCTCTGATGCATAGCTTCGTTGGACGGAGTAGCATCAGAGAGCTCTGTCCCCCTGCTGGAAGTTGGTTGAAAGAACCCTTTGAGACAGGGCTGGACACACGCACACACACCGTGCCACGTGTGTGTGCGTGTGTGTGTGTGTGTGTGTCAACCCCTGTTCTTAAGGGTTCTGTCAGCTACCACGGCAGGGGGCACAGGCCCATCGTGGATACCTGTGCCAACGAAGCTGTTCCACGATGGGGGATGCGGAGATTGATCACCTCCGTGTACCTGCTGAACTTTTGTACAAGCTGTGACTCCACTTTTCCCTTGTTTGTTTCCATGGTGGTTCCACGATACTCTCCCCAAAACCTTTTTCCTTCAGCCGCCTTCAGCTGCCGCGCGTTCGTGAACTGCAGATGTGCACAAACTATTGTTGAAACATCTTCAAGTGCTCCGACCCTTTCACCTTTCGGTTCCATCGCCATTTCTCCTGCGAATTGAGCTAACTGAAAACCAATGTCAGAGTGTGAACCGCTCAGCCGTCCCACTTGGGTGCTGGGTGTGATCCTCCGCAAGGAGGCGCTGCTTTCATACCGGAAATCGTTTTCCTGATTTATCGTCTTTTCATCGTGGATCACTGTCTTTACTTCCATGCCAATACTGAACTAAGAGGATTGCAAGCTGCCGGGCTTTTCTACGGAGAACACCTGCTTACTGACAACATAGCCGCCGGGCTAAAAAACGGACTTCCCCCCTGAGGTCAGGCATGTTTTCCTACCCTAACCCCTACCTAATTAGGGTAACAGAGGGAAATGGTACTCGGCACACTTGTGTGTCGGTGCCTTTCCCTCTGTTGTCCCGTTTTTAGTCTTCTCTACCTGGGCGGTCTAAGAGTAAAGTCCCGCTCCCTAACTATTGCACGCAATTCGCTTCTGCTAAGTAGTCAGTAACTCTAGAGTGCTAAGTATTCATACACACACACACACGGACACACACATGTACATACACTTCCCTGCCCCCCCCCCCCTT